CTGGTTGCTTTGTTTGATTCCCATTTTTTCAAAAATACATTTTTATCTCTCTTCTTTTCAACCACACATTCTTCATTAAAATAATATTACACATAAATCAAAATATTTTCTTTATTTTTCAACCACACATTTCCCATTATGGAGCTTAAACACCATCTGCATCTTTGTATTATGAATCCTACTTGTGCTAATGATGTATATTGTTAACAGAACTAATGCATTTTGCACTTGAACGCAGGTAATGCAGATACTCTAGGCACTGAACTATTAGAGAGTTTGTTGAAGATGGCTCCAACCAAGGAAGAAGAACGCAAACTAAAAGAATACAAAGATGATTCTCCAAGCAAGATTGGGGTTGCTGAGAGATTTTTGAAGGCAGTTCTTGATATACCTCATGCATTCAAAAGACTAGATGCAATGCTATACGTATCCAATTTTGATTCAGAAATTGAGTACCTCAAAAAGTCATTTGAAACTCTGGAGGTATCTTTTTACACTCCTCATCAGCTTTACATGTACTTTTTGATTTTGGACTTGGCACCAAAAAACATGATTGCAAGTTTAGTTATAGGCACCAGACTATGCTACACTTGAAACTTTTACTGGCTGAAGAAGCTTTACTGTTACAAAAGAAATTGTTTTCATTTGATTGTGCGGTATCAAATAAAGCCGAAGGAAGGTTATATAGCAGTCTGCATCACATGGAGAGAGATTAATGAAGAAATAACTTGGCACAATTTGGATTGTAGCACTTGAAAAAACTTTCAGAGAGCTTAATTGAATGAAGCAAACCACTGTTATGGTTGTTGTTTCCGGCAGATTAAACCAAATTACTGTATTCTGTTATCAAAATATTTATGATATTTCATGGAGCTAGATGCTCATCACACTTAAGATCTAAAGTTTATCTCCTCAATCCCTGTGTTAGTTTTAAGTGTTTTTGCCTGTTTGTGGGCTTAATTCTTCACTAATAGAGACAAGAAAATGGAGATAGAACTTGGGTTTTGCTATTATTGCGTGACAAAAGCTCTTGCATTGCTAACTCTTTGTTGGATATGGGATTCATTCTTACGTTATTACTGGTGACGGCCATTAAGAAATTTCTGATTTTACAGACAGCTTGTGAAGAATTGAGGTCAAGCAGAATGTTCCTAAAACTTCTAGAAGCAGTTTTGAAGACTGGAAATCGCATGAATGTTGGAACAAATCGGGGTGCTGCACATGCCTTTAAGCTAGACACACTCCTCAAGCTTGTCGATGTCAAAGGGGCTGATGGGAAAACCACACTTTTGCATTTTGTTGTTCAGGAAATAATAAGGAGTGAAGGTGCCCGTCTTTCCAGTGGGAACAGCAATGACAAGTCATCTGTCAATGATGATGCCAAGTGCAGGAAGCTCGGCCTTCAAGTTGTGTCAGGTCTCAGCTCAGAGTTCTCGAATGTGAAGAAAGCTGCTGCGATGGATGCTGATGTGCTTAGTAGTGACGTGTCGAAGCTTTCAAAAGGAATTGGGAACATTGCAGAGATTGTAAGACTAAATGAAGCAACAACACCTTTGCAGGAAGGCAGCAGCCATAGATTTTCCGAGTCAATGAACAGTTTCATGAAGAAAGCCGAGGAAGAGATTATAAAGATTCAAGCCCAAGAAAGTGTTGCTCTGTCTCTAGTGAAGGAAATTACCGAATACTTCCACGGAAACTCAGCCATGGAAGAGGCTCATCCTTTTCGAATCTTCATGGTTGTGAGGGACTTTTTAACGGTTCTTGATCGGGTATGCAAGGAAGTTGGAATGATAAATGAACGAACAATAGTCAGCAATGCCCACAAATTTCCAGTACCTGTGAATCCAATGCTACAACAAGTATCAGGTGGATTCCCTGTTAGGAGGCAAGACACTTCATCGGACGAGGAGTCCACGTCCCCTTAATATTTACTGCTC